ATTTATTCTAATTACATTCTCCCCACTTCCCCGTTGACATCTTTATGATTATTTTAAATTACTTTGTGGTCCACACAGACAGTTCTCAGAGACACTCTGTCTCCATTTGTATGGTTAGACTGGGCTTGGTCGTAGAACCTAAAACCACATCTTAGATTCTTAGTATTTGCTGTCCTTGGTTTAATGAACTTACACACAATCCCGTATGTTTCATTTCTGTATTTAATCAGCCCCTCTCCCCCTCGTCTCTCTCTCTCTCCGACTCTCTCGTTCTGAACTTCCACCAGAACCAACTCTCTGTCAAGTGATTTTAGTTTATGTTTCAAATAAAAACACATAGACCCGATGATCCTTGTCAGGAGTTTTATTTCTTTAAGTATTCAAAGCCTCTTCTGTTCAACTTCTTCTATCCGCTCTGGCTATACCCGCGCTACGTGGAGACATCATTTTGTACATCATCTCTCCTGTTGATAGTAACCAAGACTCTGGTAAAGTCAAATACCGCCTATGATAAAATCCTTGTGTTACAATAGTTGTGTGGATGCTTATATCCTACTTTTAAATGTTCTTTCCGATTAACATCATTTAGTTAAAAAGCGAGTTTTGTAGCCCAGTTGGGCTGTTCCAGGACGCAGTGTCCCTTTAATTAGTCAAGAAAACCGCCTCTTGCTTGACCTCTAGATTTTGACCAATCAGCGGGCGCTTTCTATATCGGGTCTTCGGTCATTCACCCGTTGCGCGTCATAGACAATGGATAAAAAAACCTTTGTCACGCGCTCCGTACCATGTTACGCGCATATGCGCCCGGCTGTTGTATTACAAAATACTGCATTCGAATTGACCAATCAAACCATTTAGTCCTGATTTTGGAATGAAATGACGTCACGATTTAGTAAAGTCGACTCCGATTGGCTGGCGCGCGGCTTGCATTATATTTTCATGTATAGACATATCAGACGTTATAGAGGAGATTTGCTCCGTGGATAACGGGTGATTTTAAGACTAACGAATAGGTGGTGTGAGATCCTGTTCCGAGTGCAGTGTTCGTGGGTCGTGTTCCCGCCGTTCGAGCGCGAGAACAATACAAAATATTTGCGAACAGACCGCCCGAACTCGGACGGCCATTGCGTGAGAAAAGGTTTATAGTCAGTTGCCGTGTCGATGTCACGCGTAGCTGCTCTATTTTCTCGTCCACACAACTGATAGCAACGCGAGGCCAGCGAACGATGGCCGTAAAAAGGGCTTCCGAGAAAATTCGCAATTTTCATGGCAAACCACAACCAATCCAAACAAACAAAGTTGTTTTAGGTAGTTAAAGACCTACTTCATACATCTATCAAGGTATTTTTTTTTCTCAAAAAAAGGATTTCCATGCATTTTGACGATATTATTTCACGGACAAATCGACAAAAAATTAGGTCATAAAATTTCTGGTATTTTTCGAGAACGACGAAAGTCTCCTAAATGTTGAGGTAATCAAAGGAAAGAGTGAACCTTCATCTACAAAAAAATCTCGTGAACGTGATGTCGTTAATATTTTAAGAATTCGATGTACACCTAATGTTTCCAACAACTTCCATTTTTCACAACGCGAAAAGATTGTCGCCATTGTAAAGCATACAGCGAGGAACCCAAACACGGTGTGACCCATACGCCCACTGATTGGTCGAGCTCGCGCTTGAGTATGGCCTGCTTAATATTCATAAGTCATTCATTGCGCGAATAGCGCGTGCTATTCACAATGTTTTCAGGCCAACGTACGTCGGCGTACGTTTACAAGCGTAAATTGTGATTACAAAACATGAAATCTCGCAAAAGTCTTCATTTTTCAACCGGCGATTTGGACCAAACATTAGAAGTCTCCTGCACGTGTTTCACATGAAAATGAAGCGTATACTTTCTTCTATCTACTAAGCCTTGCCATTTGTTTCGGCCCTTGTTAAGAATCGAATGTACACCTAAAAACTATCGGCCCTCGATTTTGTTGATAAAAAATATGATTTTGTTTGACAGGCTATAACAACACTTTATATTTGTCAAAAGCAGTTATTTTTGTTATCAAAATAAAGCACACGATTTCAACTTTTCACTTGTTTAGCCATCTTGGTCAAACAGTGCATGTATTGAGGCACTTATTGTGTTTTTCTGTAGTCGCGAATAAATCTCGTAAAATCTCGCGTAAGCTTTTGGGCCATGCGAGCTTGACCTCGGGACGAGAAAGTGAGGTCAAACAGGGCTGTGTGCGTGACACGGCTACTGACTGTTTCTGACTATGTCAATATAGGGCGCTGTTTCTTTTTTCTTTTTTTATCATGTAGAATTTTCGGCGATTTTGTCCCACACTTTCTCATTCCTACGGAAGCCCGTTCGTGCCAGATTTTAAAAGTAAAAAAATATTTTATTGCGAAATAACGCAATAGTTTTGCGAAATAACGCAATACTCTTGCGAAATAATGCAATACTATTGCGAAATAACGCAATAGTATTGCGAAATAACGCAATAGAATTGCGAAATACCGCAATAGTTTTGCGAAATAACGCAAAAGTATTGCGAAATAACGCAATACTATTGCGAAATAACGCAATACTATTGCGAAATAACGCAATACTATTGCGAAATAACGCAATAAATGTATTGCGAAATAACGCAATAGTATTGCGAAATAACGCAATACTTATTGCGAAATAACGCAATACTTATTGCGAAATAACGCAATACTTATTGCGAAATAACGCAATACTTATTGCGAAATTACGCAATACTGTCGTGTACAAACTTCACCCCGGATGTTCAGTTTGGCCTTAATTTGTCCATTTTGATGGAATGTTCATAGAAGTTCCTGTCCGTCATTTCGTTTTTATCCGTTGTGCTCTTGTCGTGGCACGGTTTTGCTTGAAAGGGGCGGGGTGCTGAAAACCAGAAGGTCAATGTTTGATCTTTTCAGAAAACGTTGCCATAATAGACATTTCTGTGGCATTTTTGCCCGGGGGGGGGGAGGGGCAACAAGTTTTAAGGGCTTTATTATCTTTTCACACCCCCCCCCCTATTGAATCATGTGCGTTCTTATTTTTTTTAAACACAACCGACTCAAAATTGCCACCAAGCACAAACGCGTGCTGACAGAAGAGAACTGAATGATTCCCTCGCAACTACAAGTACTGCGTTTTTACCAATGCACCTGAAGGAAACAAACTTTAGAATGTTAATAATCACTTGCATTTAATGGTGCATCAACAGTACATTCGCATTGTAACAATGCAGGGGAAATTGTACTGATATAATGATACGTTTTGAGGAATGGTTGTTTGGGTTGGGGGGGATGCATCAATAATACGCTCAATATTCCACCACGCTGAAGAAAACTAATACATTTAAACGAATGATAATTACATAAGAATGATTTTCCAACTTTAAAATGTTTTCCCCGCAATAAGTCCCTCCCAAAAATACATAACCGGTCCATTCAATTTTAACTGATAAAACGATGCCTTGCATCAAGAATCACTAAAGCCGTATACTGAAATGAATTAGAAAAGTGTTTTTGAAGAACGAATTTTAAAAAGGTTTTAAAAAAGAACTGTACTTTTAAGTCTCCATTTGTTCTTAAAGCTAAAACGTGTTTTATGGGGGTCATTAGGCAGTGGTGGGTTATGGGGATGGTTGGGATGATTAACCATCATCTTCCGTCTGGAAAAATGCCAACTGCGTAGAAAATCCTAATGTTCCCTAAGATTCGTGAAATAACAATCTCGTCATACAATCTCTAGTCACTGCTTTAGGTCTTTGGTCCTATTTATTACTGTCTTGTCCTCCGCTAACCCCCTTTACAAATCCAGGATCCGCCATGCAGGATGGGTTTTATACACCATAAAAACTTTATCTGTCAGAAAATATGACGTGAGAATTTACCTATTAGTAGGCCTAAAGTAGGCCGAAGTAGGCCTATAGGTTCAACCATTCGGACTCATGCATTTTTTCTAAAAAAACATTGGATTTATTTAACAAAAACTATTGCGTTATTTCGCAATACTATCGCGTTATTTCGCAAAACTATTGCGTTATTTCGCAATAAGTACTGCGTTATTTCGCAATAAGTAGGCCTATTGCGTTATTTCGCAATAACTATTGCGTTATTTCGCAATAAGTATTGCGTTATTTCGCAATACTATTGCGTTATTCCCAATACTATTGCGTTATTTCGCAATAGTATTGCGTTATTTCGCAAAACTATTGCGTTATTTCGCAATAAAAATATGTTTTCACTTCTAAATTCTGGCACGAACGGGCCTCCGTACATTCCCAAACAAAATATGGATCGGGGAAGTTTTTTCGATAGGGTACACCTGTCTACATGTCTGTGAGGTTTTATAAAATTCGGCGAACCAGACCGCGTGGCGATCGAAAAAAAGTGGCCTTTGTATGCAGACCTTGTGAACACTTGAGTATTCAATGGGGCTCAATTAGCTATGAGTCGTTAGGAATGGTTGTCGCGCTCCAGTGATTTATAATGCCGTAGTCGTCTTGCTCCAGAGATTCCTATCGAGTACGTAAAGGGGGCGTTTATATGTCAAGGTTTCACTATTGTACAATCCCTTAGGCCAAAAATAAAAGTCTCCGGTTTCTGGTATGGGGCTTGCCCAAAAAGTGGTGCGGCGACGCGGCTTTTTTTTTTTTTACCTGTTTTTTTTTTGCTTCAAATGTCGGCTGATGACTGCAAATGGTGCCCGACTAAACTTAGTGCAAATATATGGGAGTCCAGAGAGGCCATATAAAGCTTATTCTCGACCATAACCCAATCTAAAAACACGTTAAAATTGTGCAGCAGCAGGATTCCAGTCAAACCAGTGAGTTTGGCGGTTTCGAGACATCATCTTTCATTGAAAAATAAACTTTTTCATTTTGCCTAAATGCATGGCTACGGCGACGCGCGCGCATACCAGAAACCGTAGACTTTTTTTTTTGGCCTTAGCGTCAAACCACTATAAATCCTGCAATTTCGTACAGAAGATTCATTTAAGGTAGAGGCAAGGTTGAGCGGTGGTAAACATGAGCAATGAAAAACCCCACCAGAACGGGAAAGATGCTAATGCTAGTATCACGGCAGGGAGGGCCGGGGAGACGAGGGGTTCCCCCACGATCATCGGTATCAACGGAGTGCCGTCCGTCCGGAGACCCAACACATGCCGTCAGACGATTTCCACGGCAACGAGACTGAACAACTACGCCACAGGACAGCAATCCGTGGACAATCTCCATAAGTCCACCGAGGTCAGTATACAAAGGTTGCAGTCTGTGTTGGAATCCCGGGACATACCGTTATTTCGTTTTACCGTTTTGGATTTCCTCAAAAACAAAAACAGTAAACGAACCATTGACTGTTTTCTCGTTTTACAATATTTTGTAAAACGGTCAAACGGTATAAAGTCAAAAAAAAAAAAAACAATTAGGCCTACCTTTTTATTGTAAAAAGCGATAAACGGTTATAGTTGCTTTCCTTTTTGAGTGTTGTTTTACAAAAACATGACAATGACAAAATGGTCAATAGTCTTGTCGACTATTAAGGTTTGGCAATTAAGCAATGCACCTTGGAATGTTATTGTGTCCTTGGGATCGAGTCACTGCCTGGCAAATTGCCCTCCTTACATTTATGTCGCTCGCACGACAGAATTTGCGAATATTAGCTATTGAACTTTGAAGAGCCGCGCCGAACTCCAATTTCCTTAACATAATCTGTAACTTCTTCATACGTTAATACCATCCCTATCCCTTGTGAAATTTCCTCCTTGAAATTTCCCAGCGCCATTTTTGCTTGTAACTCTTTAAGCCCCACCAACTGAATCGCAGTGGATGGGCTCAGGGTCACGCCAGGAATCACACCACGCATTACTTCGTGCACGGCATGGTCCCCCTCCACCCCCTTGCCCACCGCCATGCACAAAATGCACTACGGACTGTTAACTGTTACACTGAAATAAAAAAAAACAGTCTGTATTCAATACTGACCGTTTTGCTGTGTTTCAAAGTTATTTGTGTAAAACTGTAAAACAAAAATAGTTGATCGTTATGCTGTAATGAATTTTATTAAACTTATAAAACAGAGAAACCGTATTTATCTTAATACCGTTTGACCGTTTTACAAAACTGTAAAACGACAAAACGGTCAATGGTTTGTTTACTGTTTTTGTTTTGAGGAAATGCAAAACGGTAAAACGAAATAACGGTATGTCCCGGGATTGTTGGACATTGTTGTTTTTATTATTGGTGGCAGCTTACTTGTCTTGTCGGCTTTAAACAAGGGCGGATGCAGGGGGGGGGGGGGGGGGGGGGACAACGGGAGCCATGCCCCCCCCCCCCCAAAAAAAAATAACATCATTTTAAAAAAACTTTTTTTAGTGACGTCACAATAAAGGCAGGCACTACGTACACCACCATCTTTTCCTAAACACAAATTGGTCAAAGTAGTCAGAAAAATTGCCTCAGATCGCATCACAGAGCATCTAGAATCCAACAAAAAATCGGGGCCCTGAAGCGGGCCCCGAACCCCACTTTTAGATTGGGGGACCAACATTTTTTGGCCCCCCCCCCCAAAAAAGAAAACAATATGTGTGTTCTGGATCCGCCCTTGGTTTTAAATGGCATGCATTGGATTGCTGCAGGCTCTATAAGGATTTAAAAAAAAGGTTGGTCCATCTCAATATTATCGATGTTCACTTTTTTTACAATAACTCGTCGATCGTACCACGATCTGACCTATCTCAGTTTTTGTCATTTCGAGAAAAACGCGTTTGAAGTTGGGCCTATTTTGTATCCACACTTTCACCCACAACACTAATTTTTATTGACTCAGTTTTTATATTACAATAAAGTTGGATAGTTGAATTATGATTTTAAATTGTTTCTAAGGCAAAAACTCATCATTACCAGGTGAAAAATAGGCGCCAAATCCATAAGTCACTTCGTGAAAATTTAATTTCATATTTCATGCGCGCGAACGGCGACCTATCCAGATAGGTCACTTCGTGAAACGAACAATTTCAATTTCTCTGTGGCTGATAGTGACTTATGTCATATGCGCATGCGCGCGCGCGGAGCTCTTCACGTCAAGTCATAATTATGGAGGTTCGTTGCAATCTGTTGTTTTTTTATATTGATATTATTGTTATTAGAGATTAATAAGCTCTTACAAATTAAAACGCTGTAATAGTGAAGGAAATTAGAAAATGAATTCCAATATATACGAGCTGCATAGAAACTTGTTGAATACATTGTGTATACCTCCTAGTAATAATTCTTGAACGAATTCATTGTAAAGGTGTATTTTTATTCCATTATTTTTTTTATTCTTATCTGTAAAAAAAAATCGAGAAACAAAATCCGTGGACAAAACAGGTATTTTGTTTAAACAAGACTCACAAGTTCAAGTTACACTGAAACAGAACGATAAACGTACATGTACACTCTCATAATCTTCAAATATTTGTTTTCTATTTTTTTTTTTTCTTCAAAGTGTACTTTCTCATTATTTAAACCTATTATTCCCTAAAAACAACAATTTTCTGCAGATAAGTACTTGTAAGCCTGTGCTCGCTGCGGCATTAGAGTTTCGTTTATCACAAAGTATAGTGGAAGGGTATAAGACTATTATGTTCACAGCGTATATCACACTTTCTGTCTGACACCCAATCCCGGCGTTGCAACAAAGCAGTACACATGGGCTGTTCCTTCGGTTAGATATACCCCGCTGCGTTGTATGTATTCGATATTAAGACATGAGGGAGACCGTTCAATGAATGACAAAGAAGGTTTGATCTGCGCTCGCTTGACGCCAGGTCCCGTTCACGGACGACGGGCGGGCACGTGGTCCATGCAGTAGTCATTCACAAGTTGTAGACGTTGTGTATGGTGTACTATCAAGGACACTTATCTGTTATCGTCGTGCGTGTGGGTAGCTCCGTCGTGCCTGTGAGCAGGTCCGTCGTGTTTGTTGAGAGGTCCGTCGTGTTTGTGAGCAGAGCGTCGTGCGTGTGAGTAAAACCGTCGTGCCTGTGAGCAGGTCCGTCGTGCGTGTGGGGAGGTCCGTCGTGTTTGTGAGTAAAACCGTCGTGCCTGTGAGTAAAACTTTACTCACAGGCACGACGGTTTTACTCACAGGCACGACGGTTTTACTCACAGGCACGACGGTTTTACTCACAGGCACGACGGTTTTACTCACAAATACGACGGAGCTCCCCACATCACGCACGACGCTCTGCTCACAAACACGACGGACCTTTCCACAAACACGACGGACCTGCTCACAGGCACGACGGTTTTACTCACAGGCACGACGGTTTTACTCACAAACACGACGGACCTCCCCACACGCACGACGGACCTGCTAACAGGCACGACGGTTTTACTCACACGCACGACGCTCTGCTCACAAACAAGACGGACCTCTCCACAAACACGACGGACCTGCTCACAGGCACGACGGAGCTCGCCACACGCACGACGATAACAGATAAGTGTCCTTTATAGTACACCATAGATAGTTGTCCTTTATAGTACATTATACAGGACCTGATTTTTTTTTTGAGCCCCTCAAATAATTATTCTGAAATGCGGTATAGGGTGCGGACAAGGGTTGGATCATCTTGCAAGATGCATCTTTTTAGGACTAAATCCGACTTGTGCGCTACCGGGGAGAGTAAATTTGCTGTGCCAATAATAGGTGTCCGATTTTCAGTCGGCCTTGTGACATCGACAATGGCTGGAAAACTCAAGTAGAAGGGCATTTTCTGTGACAAAAGTGACACAATATCACCATCGTGCGAGTTTTTAAGAGGCACGGTTAGGCAAAAAAAAAATTCGGTCTCTGGTCACCAAAGTTCCTGAATTGACGCGGCGACGCGGTTTTTTTTTTTTTTTGCTTTTTTTTCTTTTTTTCTTCAAGCTTGGAATGTACAGACAAGGTGGGGTACTATTTTGCTTTTTTGGTGTCCTCATGTATATTGGTGTCCTCCATAATTTGCCTTGGTGCTCTCGATCATTTGCCTTGGTGCAATTTCCCATTCCTTGGTGCTCTTTGGCAAAAAAAAAAAATGAGGAGGTGCGGCAATAGAGGGCGCTGTTGGAGCTACCGCGGAACATTTTTGGGGGAAAAAGATTGATTAAAATCGACGCGCGCGCTGACCGGAGACCGACTTATTTTTTGTTTGGCCTTATAGGTGTTTTTTTTAAAACTAATTCTGTATACATTGAATGATCGTGTGCATAGGTCGTTGTCAAGAACTTTTTATTACAAATTTGGTCCAATGTAAAAACGGAAAGACTCACAATGCCTAATATATTTGATCGTAAATAAAAAAAAAAAATCCCTCATAACAACCCCCCCCCCAACAAAAAAAAACACAACATAACATTTAAAAAATGGGCAAACTGGATTTGGCAATGGTCTCCAAAAGATTTATTTCAGATAACGACTCTAGGAAACAAAATTGTCTCAGTCAAATGTTGTCTCAACTCTCAAAATAACATAATCAGGTCTCTTTCCTTTTAATGATAACGCTCTATAGGCTCAGTTGTCTCTGAAAATGTACGCTGTACAAACAAACTGCAATTTTACATCAAAAGTTATGGCAACAGCGCCCAATAGCGTCGGTAGACATTTCGTTGATTTTTACATATTGTACATCAAGTGTTGTGAATTAATTTCGCAGCATTTGTGTATTACACAAATGATTTTGCACTAAGTTGCACAATTACTTTCACAATGTAAGTTGTTATTACAAATTTGCATTTACATTTTTTCCCTGTTGATTTATTTAAAGTAAATTCTCTGTCAGATAGCCTATTGCATCAAAAGCGCGTACAATTACGGTCACTTCTATGCTGGCTACTGCTCTCCTTGCTCAGATTTCCCATATACTTACTTTAGTTGAGACAGTTGGGGGCAAGGGAGGCTTTACGGTTTATTACAGTCAACTCGACAGTTTGCCGACTCGACTCAAACCAACTCGACCGTTTGCCAACTCGTCCGGCGTGTTCAATGCGAATTAAAAACGTGGGGTCCAACAAACGTCCGAATGGTTGCGTGATATACCTTTGATTAAAGGTCTTATAGTTACATTCGTACGTACGTGTGCATGATAGACGTTTAAAGCGCGCGACTTGTAGTCCAGCGGATATGTGACAAAATATCGATGAATTGTGCACTTTTGCATAAAAGCGTGAAACTTGGCACAGATGTTTATATTCATGCGAGAAAATGTTTTAGATGTGGAGCC